TACGGAGGAATTTTCGCGTGAAGTGCGTCGAGAGAAGGTGTCGGCGAACGATAGAGGCCCGTTTCCCGACGGCGACACGTAACAGAGAAAGCTAGCTAGGGATTCAAGAGCGTGCCGTTAGCTGGATGGTGGATATCCAACGACTACGGGCAAAATGTTACCTCGAGGGTGTTCGTTTATTAACGTCGCAGCAACTTGTTGCTGAACGCGTTACCACTGTTGAATAACACCCTTCCTCTGATCTCTCTGCCGGAAGTTCCCTGTCCACGCCACTCCTTTCGAGGAAGCCAAGTCCCACCCCAACTGTGGCCGAGCTTCCGCGTTTGCCAAATCACTTCTGCCACTCGAGGTAATCGTGGTTAGCCTTCGAGACTCCCTCAATTGCCACTGTTCTCGCTTAACCCCTCTCGCTCATCTGATATCGTTCGAAGCAATCCTTCCAAGAAGGCAGTGCGATAATTATTATATTAGAATCCGATTAAACATTGGTCTGTGTTTTGAAGAATAATCAACATTTTTCAAGGTTCTTTCAACATAGTCTCTCATAGTTCTCCGATGACACCATGGTATTATACTTCGATTACATCAGCCGCGGTGTAAAACACGAAACAAACGACTGAGCTATGAAATTAGAGGCATGAGTCATTGAATTAGAAGTACTAAGTGCTCTCGTGTTTTGGCTATCTTCGAATCGATCGAAAATTCCCAAACTGGCAATTGCAGTAGATCTCAAGGGATTACAGTCTGCTCGAAATCAATTGGCCGTTTAAGACCATCGAGGAAATCAACCTCTTACCTTCTTACTAAGTTACTTTGTTGCTCCATTTTCTGTTCTCTGCTGTGCTATATTCTTCACTCGGGCTGCCTTCTCTTTAGAATCAACATTCTGACCGAAGTAAAGCTTCTGTGGCGACTTATTAATGATTCATCTGTGAAGTAGACCGTGGTATAACTCGAAATCGCGAGTTCTCTCAATTGCATCGAATGGCTATCGGTTTGGTGGACGGTTCACGTGCGTTCTTGCACGTTTCACGTGGCAACGAAGCCTCGGAAACGGTTCGATATCCTTCGCGAATCGCTTCGAGCTGTTTGCTGGCCGCTCGAGAAACCTAATCGAGCAACGTTTATGACCGACCACCGATCAACTTTTCGTTTAATTTCGTTGTCGACTCGTGTGGGGCCCCGAGCGATCGATTAATCGTTCATGGAGCGTGATTCAATGGTTTACCAGGGGAAGATTGACCCTCGATCGTCGGGTCCTGTCAAGGATTCAATTAATTCCAGCTGCACGAGAAATTTGATTTCGTTTCGAGATTATCCCATAGAGAACACTTCCCTTTTCAAAATAGACAGCTTTAATATCTTTTTTTTTTAATAAGAAATGTGAAAACTTGTTGCTTTTTTCTACGGGATACTTGTTCTATCGAAATAAATAAGATTTATATAATAATCTAAATATAACGTAGCATTTTTCTTCTTGTATCTCATGGTAAATATTTATTCGTCGCGCTGATGCACTGATAACCACGGTGAAATTGTAACGTCTCATCGATCATCGTTGTGGGGGAATCTTCAGGAGGAACACTTGAAAAACTTGTATAAATTTTTTTCTAGAAGATTACTATTTTACTGCTGTTAAATATGATTTATCTTTAGTGTCGCGAATTAATTTGTCTCTGGTATGACATTTCTATTATCAGTGTGAATTTATTGCCAGTGAAGATGTTTTAGATTGCAAGGTTTCTTGCAGGAAATTGAAAATTTTCTCGTTACTGTCCAATCTTTCTGAATAATAAGGCAAACCGATTGGAAGGATGCAATAATTTTCCCAAGTATCAGGAATTCTTTATTTCTTATGAATAATGACAACTCTAATCTCTACTCGTTCAGTAGAAAATATGAGGGCCATATTATCTTATCGACGAGCATAGATAAGACAAGAAAAAGGCCCACTGCGAGACTCGGAACGGAAATAGTGTCCTAATTTCTTATTCCATGCTTCTAAATAAACATTAATTAATTTGAAAATAATTTATGGGGAAAAATTGTAAATCGTACTAATGATATTTGCAGGTAATTAAAATCTCGTTAATTACACTATGTTTAAAAAAATTGCTTACAAGAGCAGGGTTGATCCACGTTAAATTAAGGGGGTTAAAACGAGCACAGTTAGCGTTGAAATTCGAAAAGGGGGAGGAAAGTTCGCGTGAACGTTCCATAAATAATGTCACCGTTCGTTCTGACTCGATTATTTTCCACGGCGTGGAACTTAATTATCCTAATAACGAAAATTATAGGCAAGAGTTTGCTACGGCTCTATTACCAAGCGTGATATTTAATGGTACTTCCTAGCAAGGAACCATATAAACGCCTCTGTAAATAACGTTTTGGATAATGTATGCGTTCAGATAATAAAAATTTTATTTCAAACTCTGAGTACATTTTTTTTCTTCTATACTTCAGTTTCACACTAATCATCCAGTTCTTCCTGGGCATGCTGCCAACTGCCTCCTTTCTATTCATCAATAACCCAAATTTCTCCCTTTCTTCTTACCCTACTTTCAGTTATTAATTACAATTCTTTTAATAAGTTTCAATATTCTCATTAAAATATTTAAAAACTATTTCAAAAATTTGAAATATTAAACCTTCAATCGGTACTCGATTGCCCATGTAAGGGTTAAACCTGAGGGACCACCCCCACAATGAAAAAGAAAGATGAAGAGAAAAGCTGGTTCCGAAGGGGATGACCGAAGGGATGGAAAAGAGACAAGAGGGAGGAAGAATTAGCATTTTATTCGTAGCGCGACCGATCGATATTCGCGGGCAGGTTCGTCTTCGTTTTACTGTCGGTCGGAACCTTTGGAGCCGACACATTGTTCGCGAATTCAAGATGGCGCGCTTCGACACCTCTGCCCGCCACCAGTGCCGCCAACCCTCTTCAACCCCCGTTTCGTCGACCTAATGTAATTTAGCTGCCGTCGACGATGGAAGGGAGATGGTTAAAGAGAGAGAGAAAGAGTGAACCGACGAGAGGGGTAAGTCGAAGGTTGGCAGAGGAAGACCGCTAATTATTTCACCTAGGATATCCGCAATTTGATCTTCGGCACTTGCACACCGAAATCCGTGGATTGAGAAGAGGTCATTGATTTTGGATTAAATCGTTCGGAAACGAGGAAATCGGATGGTTCGATCGAGCTGCAACTCAATTCGAACGTGGTCGCGTGAAAATTAGGGGATGATCGGTGAATTCGGGAACGACAGCCCCGGAAATCCGAGCTTTCCGGCGCAAGCACCTTCTACTTTTAGTTGGTATTCTATTTTAGTCTGTTTCTAATATAAAATGCGGCGATGGTATCCATTCGAAGATTGAATCAAGAAAAAATAATTTCTTTGTAGGTGGAGCTATTTTTATGAAAGGTTACTTCCTACTTTCTACTTCCTAATTACGCGATACAGGTTTCTCGAACAAAGACGATATACGCCTTCAAAAATACTCTACTAATTAACATTCTTGAAATTTAAATCAGATTTCTTATTTTAACCAAAATTCTAAAATTAATTTCATTATTCCCCAATACCTTCACCCCCAAATTCAGGGTTCCGGAACCAATTATTTCCGGAAATAGAACAAGAAAATACTCGATCAAAGCTGTGAAATAATTTAGTAGGAAGTGATTTTAGATGGAGAGGGTGAATTCCAAGCGGCGGCTATCGATCGCTTGAACGAATATAAATTGAAACATTGAAAAAGTTGAATTGCATTCTGTTATGAAGACGTTGGCGTCGGCACAGGTGTCGGTGCACGTGTGCATCGTTCGTTTTGAGAGATCGATAACACTCCGCCGCCACAGAGATATCAAAAGCTCGTCGAACGCGATATAAATCAGCTGCGGTGCTATGCACTTGCTGGTTCGAATAGGAAAACGCCTAACTACCAGAGCTCCATTATTCCTTTGCCCGAGTGCTGGAAAACAGGCATCACTGACACTTCAGTTTATCAATTACCAATTGGATAGATGGTATTTTGATATGTCTGGTATATAATTATCTTACTAACAGAATAGTGCAATATTTACAAGTGACTTTTTTGATATCTCGTGTACAATCTTGGTAATCGTTTTGTAAATATCATTTTATAGTGTACCATGAGTCATTAAAAGTTCCATTGATAAGATCTACCTTCTACGCTGTAATTTCTACGAATCTTTGAATCTCCTTATCGATTAAAGTTGAAAGAAAAAAAAAAAGGTAAAAATAATTCCACAGAAGAATTCTCATTAGAGAAAGTTTGGCAGATCGTTTCACCGGAAGTGGCTACGCTCGCGAGCGCTGATGAAGAATGGATCGCGCGGCGAAGTTTCAAGGCAAATAAGAAACACGTTGGAACAATATAAATGGTCGTGGATAAATTGGCATGAAACTAAAGAAGAATTTGGAACTAGATATCTTGGGTATTTGGTAGTGAAATGCAACAACTGTAGCTTGATTACCGTAGCAGCTGGAACATTTTAAACATGGCGGTGCAGAACGCACACGCGCGCTCAACGTCGATCAATACCAGCTTGCTTAATGTCAGTTCTCAAACTTCCTGCAGCTCGATGGTAAGTGGCAAGAAATTTATTCCAAATAGACGACCGCCCTCGTTTTTCTCCAGGAAACTTTGTCCGAAGAGGAAAAACTAAGAAATTGTACTGCGGTCCTGCGCGAGGAGGAACTGATATTTTTGAGGAACGAACTTAAATCCTGATCACTTCCGGTTTAGGTGGTTCTTTGCGCAAAGATCCCAAAGGATCATTTTCATTCCTCAAACTACCCTTATTTTGCAATAAGCACGAAAAGGAGGCAATTACTCCCTCCTTTAATCTTTCTAGGTGATGCTTTATAAGAAAAAGAAGGAACACTAAAATTCTTCTGTTTTTTATCGTTTTCCCGAAACACAGAACGAACAAAACGATTCCATACAAGAACAGAGAACAAAAGAGGCTCGAGTTACTTACCCTGGTTGCACCTTTGCCTCGTCCCCTGCCCCTCTCCCTGAACGCACCCTCGCCCGTCTGCAGATGGTACAGGTGCTGAAACACAATTGAGAATTGGTTCGGTTAAAAATATGCTTGTTGTATACAAAAGAATCGAGCGATTCCTTGATCTCGTGAAACATACATATATGTAACCGCGAGATCGGCGGTGGCCGGCTTTCGGATCGTTATCGTTCCGACGATCAACGGACTATCGTAAAATCAAGGCAACCGTATCACCTCAATTGACCTCGTTAAGCCCAATAGACGTGCCAATAAAAGTATAACCTTTCAGGGCCAGCGGTATTAGATTAAATTCACCACGACAAAACGTTTTAGATTATTCCCGGACGAAAGATGCCGCGAATAGCCCGCGGCCTCCTATACGCTTCCATCGCTCGATAGTAATCGATGTGCTCTCGGTTGGTCCGGGTTAATTAGAACGGGCAAATTGCATGGTCTAATGAGTATGAAAATTCGGTTTGGTTCCGATTTAAATCCCTCGTGTAGGAAAGTTTCAATATTTAATAGGAATTTTTTGCAATTTTATTTTCAAAATCTATGTTTGTGAGTTGGGTCAATGCACTGATAGTCGAAGGAATTAATAAATAATATGAGTTCTCTTTATTTTTACATCTATATTTAGAATTTTTTTTTGGTATCATTCTATTTTAATACTGATAGAATTTTTGGGGGTACCAAGTATGAACTTATGGATTCCCCGTTTCGAATATGAAAGAAAAGGGGGTAGTTTTCCCGATCGGTAAGACGATTGCATAATGTACCGTTTGTCAAATATATGATAATATTGCATAATTATTACAAAATATTATGTTATAATTAAAAGTATGGTATGATAATAAATAAAAGTGAAAAATTGTTTTCTTTTTTTTTCTCTTTTGGAAAATGAATTGATATGTATTTGTTGGCAGTCGCTCAAAGTAGAGACCTGTGTTACCCACTAGAAGGAAGAATTACCTTCGACCGATGTTGGTAGATGGCGTATGCAGTAAGTTTACTGGAAGCCACCATTTTTTCTACCGACCCATGGCGGGAGATATGGTTAAAAATTGATATTAAAACAGTGACATATTTTTGTATAATCACACATGGTTAAATTTTTATTTCTTCAGTTTATTTTTCTAAGTTTAAGCTCCCGTCCATAACTATCTTCAAACCTGAATAAAAATCTTCTATCACAATTTAGTTCCACCCTCACGATTTCCTCCCATCCAGTTCTGTTTGCTTTCCAAACGAATTTCCTCGTATAAGAACAACAGAAGAAAGAAAAATACAATTCGAAATGTGTATTTGTGAAACGAGCGGAAACAAAAGAGAAAAGGGGATCTAAAGTGTGCTTTTCCAGGGTGATAGGATTAATAGTACGAAGGAGCAAAGTAATGACTAAAGAACCAATTATACTCCTCTTCTAGCACTGTTGCTTAAAATCCTGCATCTTAAATTTCAAAATCAATCGAATGAATCTGACAAAATCTAAGTGTTGAGGGGTTTAAATGATATTCAAGCCAGAGATAGTGACACTGATAGAACAATTGACAAACTAACAATATAAGAAAAGACTTAGAAGAGTAAAAAGGTGAGATACGAACGAGTAGGTGGTCGGCACGGTAAGGAGCGTCGAGAGAAGCAGAGAGATGATCGCGCGAGTGAACATCGAGGTCCGAGGCAGGCGGAAAACGTCCCCTTCGGCGTCGGCACACGCGTGGACGATTATGGTCTAATTCCCTTGTACGCGTATTCCCACCAACCTACCTAGCTTACCTACCAACCTACCTGGCTGACTCGCATGACAGAACCGTCTTCGTGAGCGAACGAGGAAAAGCGTAGTTGTCGGTGCATTCGATAAGCGTACGCTCGAAAGATAGGGGTGTGTCCCCTTAATTCCATATCTCTCACTCTCTCCCTTTCTCTCCTCTCACCATTCCTCTCTCTTTCTCTTGTACACTTCTCTCTAACCCTCCATCGACACTTTCCTCTCTCTCTCTGTTCGTTTCGTAGCTTTCTTCTCTCACCAGCACGGTTTTCCTCTTTCTCCTCCATCAACAACTCGTTGCACCTTCACAGCCCCTCTTGCGGCCCGTTCGACGTTGCTCTCGCGTAAATATCGCGGTTTCTCGGTAAACAGGAGAACGAGCAGCGAGCAAAGGGTAGATATGTGTACGATATACAGGTGGGTGGTGCGTGCACGCACACACGAATTTCCTGGCCGTACACGCGTGCACGGTCGGACTGAGTGAGAGGGAAAGAGGAAGAAGGGTGAAACAGGGAAAGAGAAGAGGGAGTAAAGGAAGCAAGGCAAATGTCAATATCGACGATGCATCGTCGTCAAGAGAGCCGCACTTGGGGCGGGAATGAGGGCGTAATTAATCGTGCAAGCAAAGAAATTTTTTTTCTCTCTCTCTCTCTTCTCTTTAACCTGTCCCCGACCCGCGTAACTCCTCTACTTAGGAGAACCTCGCCAAATTATAAAATTATATAAACTCTACACACCGATGCTTAACTTTTTTTCCTTTTAGAAAAACAAATGATTTTTTTATTGAAGTGGAAATTTTGAAGATTTCTCATCGAGATGGTAATTAGCTTCTAACGGAGTAGTAGTGGATCTAATGAAGGGTGATTTAAGTAGGTGTATTGTTCTGAAGCACTGTTAAATGAATTTTAAGAAATTTAAAGCTTCTAGGTTAAATAAAAGGGTTTCAACAATTTCTTTGACAAGGGTCATTTTTAATCGAATATCACGAAGAAACAACGGCTTTGCGAGTTAATAATTATCGAAGATATCCCTCAAGATCTCCCATTCGCTCGTCTCCCACGTTTCAAGTCCGGTTCGATGATTTCCTTAGAAGTTAACGAGATGGATGCACGTGTTTGACAGCATTATAATTAGCTTATTAGCCTTACGAGATGAATGCGTAACGCGTTGTACCGTAATATCCTACCGGCAAGATTTTAATTTTAATAACGCACGCACCGTCTTATCGATACGTCAGCTGCAAAGATCGATCGACCTTAGAAATCATTATCTACTTATCTAAATATCTAAGATTATAAATAATAACTTATAACTTCCTCAATTTCTTGCTGCCGACAAATACCGAAACAGCTGCTTTAAAATAACTCACGTTCGACTCATAACACATTACGACGATGATACCAAGTCTCTCGCGATTAATAACAATAAAGAGAATTATGATGAAAGAAGAAAGAAGCAAAGAGTTCCATCTGAAGTCTAGATCAGCAATTAGAAGCACGCGCTTCCCCGGCAGCTGTCATCGATTTTCTGATAAGCTAATTAAAATATTTCGTAAGTACGTTTCCTTATATCTTCACTCGACAGATGCACGGATCTCGATAAGAAACACGTTAACCGTTTGAACCTTCAACAAAGAAAGATTTAACGTAGCTTGAAAACATAGATACTTCGTAGTGCCGAGCAATTAACGTCTTAATTATTGAAAAAGATAATTTTTTTAAATTCTATGCTACAGAATGTCTCGAATGTAAATTCCTTTCACAGGTATAAAGAAACCAGAATCGGTAGTGTTAATGACATGTCCAACGATAATTGGTTAGTAGATTCTTGTTCTCCAGCAGCTCGGGACATTGAAACTTGTCGAGGGTCGTAGTGACTAGTGACTCTGTGTTTAAGTAGCAAGCCCGCTCGAAGAGAACGGGTATATATTTTTCGGTAAGTTTCCAAACAACGAAGGAAAGGAAGCAGCACGGTGACAGCCGGCTCTTGTATTTGTCTAAAGTCGTCCCGACGCCGAACATTTGCCCAGGAAGATGGTATTATAACCAAACACGGGACTGTTCAGATGAAATGATTAGCGCCGGGACATCTGCTTCTGTTGACAGTAAACGTTGCGAGGAAATAGTACATTCTCGACCGAAAAACGATCCGTGATAATGATCGTGACCGTGTAACCAGTTCTTTTAACTCGTTATACGTTCCCTTCATTTTTACCCTACATTCTTCCCCTATTGTCTCAGTTCTAGATCCCCTTTGAATTTTGATAGGAAACTTGACAAATTATTGTGAGATCATTTGCACCTTGGATCCGCTTATTATTCTCAATTGTACACATTTTTTTAGCCAATTCGACGACACAAAAGGGATTTCGAAAGAAAAGAAAAGAGAAACAAGCATCGAGATAAAGGTAGAACGGGATAAAGACGAGGAGAAGGACAGAGAACGGCACCGAAATCCCGGATTTCCGTGACTGGTCCTTCGGCTAATGAAAGAATTCGACATCGAGATTCCTCCTCGCCGCACGCGTCCCTTTGTCTGCTCTTTTCATTCTCTTCGCAACGCGTCGCGCGATTCTCTGAAAGGGTGTTCGCGATAAAAATGTTGAATGCGTCGCGACGCGTTCCCCAAAACGGGTCCGTTTCAATGCACGCTGCATGTCCTCGAAATCCGTGCTCGTAAAAATGACTGAAACCCGTGAACACACAAGCTGCTGACTTCGATACAAAACATTATCCCCCTTAGAGAACGAGAGGCTACGATGTATCATTGTTATGGCACGTCTGGAAATGTTCAATCGAAAAGCAAAGAATTTCATTTGTTCAAAGTACAATCAGCTTTTTTTACGATACAAAATTTCAGAAATTTTAAAAAGGAAGATTAATTAAAGATTGATTTAACAAGGTTTTGGATTTTAAAAAAAACGGAAATTGCGAGGAAGCGACGGTAAACACTCTCGAAGTTCCTGCGATAGTTAAAAACGTCCGCTTTCTCGGTCAGCTGACTTTAATTTCGTCAAAGCGTATCCAACGGGCGACAGATGGTCGGCGCGCCGTTCGAAAGAGCCGTTGCACCCATTAGAAGTGCGACGGTTAAAAATGGTAGGTACGTCCGAAGGACAGGTTATCGAGCGTACCATGTGCACTATACGCTTGCAACCGCGTGCGTTCTCCATTTTCGCGTTTCACCGCGATATACGCTTCGACACGCTACTGTGCGTATGATCGATAAAAATCATATAATTCTATAATTAACTAATGGCGACTTGAAATTTTGTTTTTTCTAT